CCTTGAGCTGCACTGCAGCTTCTCTTCCTCCACGACTACATGAAGCAGCAGCCGGGCCGGAAGCCGTGCCGTCCTATTACAGCGCTCAGCCGCTGGCCCCTCAGCTGCGGCGGCCGTCCCTCAAGACACGGTCGCCGTACGTCTACCTCGTCGCGTATCTCTTGGGAGATGCCGTCGTCGCATCGGCTGTTGCCTGGTCGGCCAGGAGGTCGCCCAGCGCCCACCACCCGGGCTGGTTCTGCTCCCTCAACCTCGCCCACGATATGCTCGATGAAATGCGCCAGGACAGAGAGTGTCGCCCGCGCGCCAGTCACGGCCCATTCCCTCGAGCTGGAAGCTCTGCTGCTCCTTCATCCTCGGCGGCGCTGCCTCCTACGGCTGCAGCGTGGCGCAGCTCTCCAAGGTGGGTTGTTGGTGTAGCAGTAGCGTCCACCCAGGGCGCGTGCGCTGGGGCTGAGGTGCTTCCGACCCTGTAAACCACGCTTAGCCCAGGAGGCAACGATGCCATTCCGAACGCCTGGGGTCGGATCTGCTTGCCTGGCCGTGGCTCCCAGGCAAGGCTGCAAACCAAACACGCCCAGATGCGACCGGCCGGGACGGAATGCTATTCAAAGGTAACCGTCCATTTTTTTTCGGTGGTATTTCACAGTGGTAGAGATCTTTTAGTGGTACTTTCCAAACTTTGAACGCTACAGAACTAATTTACCCCAAACGAACTGGCCAGGGGAGGTTTTGCATTTTGGAATTGGTTTCTATTCTTAGTGAAGAGGTTTAAATTTGAGTGAAATTCAAATTTATCAAAGGGCACATGAGGCCAAATTAAACCCCAACAAATCCAATTTACACCATAGACTCAAAGGAGCAAATTATCCTGCTTCAGAGTTTAGAAAGTTCAAATTTTTTGAGTGAAATTGGTGGTCTTACCTATTTATATTACATGTAAACTGCAGTTCTGTTGTAACTTAAAAAGTTTTCGTGATTTTTGGAACATGCACAAATTTTTTCGAAAGATCTTAATTTTAGTGAATTTCAAGAATATTTGATATTAATAAAAAAACACATGGTGTTACAAAGGTCTAAGTTACAGAGTATGACATTTATGCAAGGAATAACGGCAAATGACGAGATATTTATAAAAATTTTCAGCCTGTTCGTTTGGCTGTGGCTTGTCGTAAACGATCGTAAATTTCCAGCCGAAACAGTATTTTTCTCTCACACAAACCAGCCAGCAATACTTCTTCACGAACCAGCAACGAAACGAACCAGCCAACCGAACAGCCTGAAAATCCCTTGTGAGTTTCAACAATGGCTCTGCTCCTGTGTTCCTGCTGTTGTCATGGATTATAGTAGCAGAATTGGAAAAGCTATGAGCCTATGATGCAGTTACACCATACAACAACAACAATAACAACATAACCTTTCAGTCCAAGTAAGTTGGGGTAAACTAGAGTTGAAACCCACCAAGAACCCCAGGTCACAGTTCAGGCACTTCAATAGCTGCTTTCCAAGTATTCCTATTCAAACATAGATCTCTAGGTATATCTCAAGCTTTCAAATCCTTTTTATTGCCTCCTCCGTGTCAATTTCGGTTTTTCTCTACCTCTCTTTATATTATTAGCTTAGCTTAAGACTCCACAATGCACTGATGCCTCTGGAGGTCTCTTTTAGACATGGCCAAACCACCTCTACTGATGCTGAACAAGCTTTTCTTCAATTTGTGCTACCTCTAGGCAATCACGTATATCATCGTTCCGAACTCAGACCATTCTTGTGTGATCGCAAATCCATCGCAACATACGCATTTCTACAACACTCAATTGTTGAACATGTCGAATCTTTGTAGGCCAACATTTTGCTCCATACAACATAGCCGGTTTAATCGTCGTTCTATAGAACTTGCCTTTTAGCTTTTGTGGTATCCTTTTGTCACAGAGAATGCCAGAAGCTTGTCGCCACTTGATCCACCCTGCTTTGATTCTATGGCTAACGTCCGCATCAATATCTTCATCCCTCTGTAGCATCGATCCCAGATACCGAAAGGTATCCTTCTTAGGCACTACTTGACCTTTCAAACCCACATCTCCCTTCTCCTGTACAACTCCGCCAAAGTCGTATCTCATGTATTCGGTTTTAGTTCTGCGAAATCTAAAACCTTTAGACTCAAGGGTCTGCCGCTATAACTCTAGTTTTCTATTTACTCCCGCCTGGCTTTCGTCCACTAACACTACATCATCAGCGAACAACATACACCAAGGGATATCCCCTTGTATGTTCCTGGTAATCTCATCCATTACCAAGGCAAAGAGATACGGGTTTAAGGCTGACCCTTGATGAAGTCCAATTTTAATCGGGAAGTAATCTGTGTTACCGTCGTTTGTTCGAACACTAGTCACAATATTGTTGTACATGTCTTTGATGAGGGTCACGTACTTTGATGGGACTTTATGTTTGTCCAAAGACCACCACATAATATTTCTTGGTATCTTGTCATAAGCCTTCTTCAAGTCAATAAAAACCAAGTGGAGATCCTTCTTCTGCTCTCTAAACCGCTCCATAACTTGTCTTATGAAGAAGATTGCTTCTGTGGTTGACCTTCCAGGCATGAAACCAAATTGGTTTGTTGATATCTGCATCGTTCCTCGCAAGCGCTGCTCGATGACTTTCTCCCATAACTTCATAGTGTGGCTCATCAACTTAATTCCCCGATAATTAGTACAACTTTGGATATCTCCTTTGTTCTTGTAGATTGGTACCAATATGTTTCTTCTCCACTCCTCAGACATCTTATTCGATCAAAAGATATGGTTGAACATCTTGGTTAGCCATACTATAGATATATCCCTGAGACATCTCCACACCTTGATTGGGATACCATCAGGGCCCATCGCTTTACCCCTTTCATTCTTTTCAAGGCTTCTCTGACCCCCGATTCTTGAATCATCCGCATAAAGCGCCTGCTGGTGTCATCAAACGAGTCGTCCAGCTGAACGGTGGTGTTCTCGTTCTCACCATTGAACAATTTATCAAAATACTCTTGCCATCTATGTTTGATCTCATCCTCCTTCACCAAGAGCTGCCCCCTCTCATCCTTTATGCACTTGACTTGGTTGAAGTCTTTTGTCTTCCTATCGCGAGCCATATCCATCCTATAAATGTCCTTCTCTTTTTCCTTCGTACTCAAACGTCGGTAAAGGTCCTCATAGGCCCGCCCCTGTGCCTCACTCACCGCTCATTTTGCTGTCTTCTTTGCCACCTTGTACTTCTCTATGTTGTTTGCACACCTGTCATGATACAAGCGCTTATAGCACTCCTTTTCCTTAATAGCCTTTTGCACATCTTCATTGCACCACTAAGTGTCTTTCGAGTCGCATCCGCTGCCTTTGGTCACTCCAAACACCCCTGAAGCAACCTTTCAAACGCATGTTGCCATCTTCTTCCACATGCTGTTTGCATCGCCTTCATCATTCTAAGGGCCCTCTTCAATGATATTTTTCTTAAAGACCTTTGATGCCTCCCCTTCTAATTTCCACCACTTCATTCTAGCAACCCTAGCTTGTTTGTTCCCACAAGCTTGCACCAGAAAGCGGAAGTCAGCCACCATCAGCTTGTGTTGAGCAACCACACATTCTCCAGGTATCACCTTACAGTCTACGCATGTTCGTTTATCCCTCCTTCTTGTAAGGATAAAATCGATTTGACTAGAGTACTGGCCGCTACTAAAGATCACTAAATGGGACTGTTTCTTACGGAAGAAAGTGTTAGCTATCATCAGATCAAAAGCTATGGCGAAGTCTAAGACTTCCTCTCCCTCCTGGTTCTTACTACCATATCTAAAACCCCCATGAACCGTCTCGAAACCTGAACTTGATGTACCTACATGGCCATTAAGATCACCTCCTATAAAGAGCTTCTCGCTACTAGGGACAGCTCTAACCAAGCGATCTAAGTCTTTCCAGAAAAGCCGTTTAGCAATCTCATCATGGCCTACTTGGGGGCATATGCACTAATTACGTTTAAGACCATATCACTAATGACAAGTTTAACTAAGATGATCCTATCCCCTTGCCTTCTCACCTCCACCACACCATCCTTGAGGCTCTTATCAATCAAAACTCCTACTCTATTTTTATTTGAAGTTGTCCCTGTGTACCAGAGCTTGAAGCCGGTATTGTTCACCTCCTTCGTCTTCTGCCCCTTCCATTTAGTCTCTTGGACGCATAAGATATTTACACACCTCCTAACCGCTGTGTCCACTAACTCTCTTAACTTACCTGTAAGGGACCCTACATTCCAGCTACCTAAACGGATCCTAGTTGGCTCGACTAGCTTCCTTAGCCTTCGCACCCGCCGAGGTAGGTGTGAAGACCCTTGCTCATTTTGCACCACACCCGGGCGCCGATGTGGCGCGCCACTAAGGATGCGACGACCCGATCCTTGCTCACTTGACACCGTGTCCAGATCGCGACACGGCGCGTCACGGGGGTGACGACCCGGCCCTTGCTCATTTAACACCAAACCCGGGTTCCGACATGGCCCGTCGCTAAGAGGGTTACGCCCCAACAGGATTCTTTTGGGTTTCATCTCCATTAAAGTGGCTAAGTTTTTACATTGGCTCGCCGTGCCTAACACAACCCTCCTCCTTTACCAGGGCTTGGGACCTGCTATGCTGGGACACCAAAGGCGCCCCCACCATAGGTGGAGTTATGCAGTTACACCATGAGTGTGTGAAAACTTCATGCAACATGGAATGCGCAAGTGCCTTGCTGATGACCCCTATCCCTGTTAAGGCAACTGTCCAAGTCCCATTACTTGGCCCAAAAAATCTTTTCAAAGAAAAATTTGGTCCAGTTTTTGGTGCACCTAATCTGCAATGCACTGTCATTGATTGGAGTATTTTATTTCTGTTGTTACGTGTGTTGTATAATTGATCAGTTGCTCATGATGGCCCTTATCTGTGTTTCAGTAACTGATTGATCGGGTAATTCATCACTACAGAAGCGATGGCCATGGCCAGAGTGTTTCACCTCTGGAACGAATGGGAGATCCAAATCCTGGTCCTTGTCAGCTTCGCGCTGCAGGTGTTCCTGCTCTGCTTCGCGTGGATGCGTCGGCGCAGCATCTCCCGCACTCTGAGGATCCTCCTTTGGCTCATGTACCTGCTGGCTGAGTTCACAGCAACATACACCCTCGGCCACATGTCCATCGATTGCAAGGCAGGCGAGCACCAGCAGCTCATGGCGTTCTGGGCACCGTTCCTCCTCGTGCATCTGGGTGGCCAGGACACCATCACCGCCTACGCCATGGAGGACAGCCAGCTCTGGCTGCGCCACCTGCTCACTTTCACCGTGCAGGCACTTGGAGCAGGCTATGTCCTCTACAAGTACATGGGCCACCACAGGCCACTGGTCGCACCTGCTGTCCTGATGTTTAACGTGGGTGTACTCAAGAATGCAGAGAGAGTGTGGGCACTCAGTTTCTCAAGGCTGGAAATCATAAGAAGGTACCTCGATGGTGTGTCTATTAAGAAAAATGATGGGGATTACCCTACTGCAGGCACACAGTCGGAATTGGATGATGAGTCGGTTCTGCAGGGTGCTCATGACCTTCTTTACATCTGCATGGGCCAGTTTGTTGATGACAAGATCTGTCCAACCAAGTTTCAGAATAATGCCATGAAGCTTTTTCATGAGAAGAGCAAAACATTCGAGTTGGTTGAACTGCAACTCTCCTTGATGTATGACATCTTCTACACCAAGGCAGCGGTGATCCACACGTGGTATGGACGTTGCTTCCGTGCCATTTCCTTGCTTGGAACTGCCATGGCATTCTTTCTGTTTCAGTTCAGCTCTGGCAAAGACGGCTACAGCAGAGTTGATGCAGCTGTCACCTACATACTGTTAACTGGAGCTTTCATTCTGGAGGCAGCATCGGTGTTGAGGGCAATAGGGTCAACATGGACATGTGACATGCTAAGAGGGACCAGGTGGGACTGGCTTCACAGCCTACATGTATCTCTTCGGCGGCGTGTCAGGATAGCACAAGCAAGAAGATGGTCTGGTTCCATCGGCCAGCTTAACTTGCCGGACTCCTACTCCACCGGTGATGAATCAAGTGATGAAACAAGAGCACAAGCAAGAAGATGGTCTGGTTCCATCGGCCAGCTTAACTTGCCGGACTCCTACTCCTCCACCAGTGATGAAGCAAGTGATGAAACAAGTCGAGAATTTACTAGACAAATGGGCAGACCCAGTGCCGGAGGTTCCCTCATGAGTGTGGTATGGGGAAGGGATAAACCGAGACAAGCCTTTCCCCCGCAAAATCTGCGAAGAGGCTGCTTCGAACCAAGAAGTCAAGAAGGCAGAATCGTTCAAGAAAAGGATACAAGAGTATTCGTCCAAGGAAAAGATAAGAGAAGTCGTCATCTACGCAGCAAAATAGCTTCCTTCTGGAGAGATGGCAGCAGCATGATTCCAGCGGATGCTAAGGAGTTGGTGCTGAAGGAGATAAGGAGGATGGTGGAAGCATGTGAAGGCAAGGAGGGCGTGATGAGGGGTTACCGTGGTCAGTGCGCACTGGAGAGACCAGATAGATGCATAATGCCAGACCACACCTGTAGATGGAGCTTTCCTGATGGAATCTTGAAGGATCTCGCCACCTGGAGCATGGACATGGAGTTCGATGAAAGCATCCTTGCCTGGCATCTTGCCACCGACGAGTTCCTCACCAAGTACTCAGAATCTGCAGATGCGAAGCCCCTTGTGGAGGCAACTAAGGCAGTCTCCAACTACATGATGTTCCTCTTTGTGGAACGTCCATACATGCTGCCATCCCCTGTTCGACCCACATTGCATCTCCAAGCCAGGAAACTGCTGCCGGAATGGAATCGCCGGAGGTTCAAGAAGCAAGATCATAGTCAAAACAAGGTCCTTGATCCTGGAGCAGAACTCGCTGAAAAACTGCAACGCAAGCAAAAATCATTGGAGATGCCAGAGCCCAAGCTAGGTCTACTGCAGGTGGTTTTTGGGGTGTGGGTGGACATGCTGTGCTACGCGGCACATCACTGCAGCAGGGAGTCCCATGCCAGGCAGCTCAGCAGTGGCGGAGAGTTCTTAACCATCGTGTGGCTTCTGACCACAGCAGAGTTTAATCGCCTCCACTACGAAAAATTACAGTTTAAGGAGCGCGTGGCTCGCTCTATCTGGAATCTGATGAACTTCGTGGATTTCGGTGAATTCGTGGAAGATATAACATGTGGTCTATTTGCACGATCGTATGATGACTATTATCATTCTCCAGTCGTTCGATTGTATCAGCCATGATATAGTGTTTTTCTCTTACAACAAAACAGCATCAGCCGGCTTATAAGCCACATAAACGATCAAGCGAACAGGCCGATGATTGATTTGTGCCCATGCATTCGCACAGCAATAGACGACTATACACATTTTATTTGTATGCTAAGATTTGATGATAATAAGCATACTCATGCTATGTGAGGCTTTCTCGTAGACTAACCAAACTAGTAGCTCTACTACTCACAGAAATTGAGTTGCATTGGACTACAGTGACCTTGGATCTATCATTATCAGTGCTCTTTCCCTAGTCCAATCACTGTTAATAATTGAGCATGATTGAGTGGGAGTCCATTTAATACCAATTAATGTCATACGGAGAAGCAAATACGGAGTATATCTGTTGGCAGTTTATATATACTAGTAAAAATGTCCGTGCGTTTAACGGGAGAAAAAAAGATATCAAACGTTAATAGAAAGCAAGGATGAGATGTTACATATCTACCGCATGGCGTGCGCCGTGCGCCTCACTAGTGCCGAATGGCGTGTGTTGTTGGTATAGATGCGGAACCGTTCCCGATAATGTCCGGACTCCTCTTTCTCGGTGCGACGGTGTTGTCGATGTAGATGTGGAGCCGTTATGGATGACATACGGGCTCGCCTCCTGATGCGGCGGCATCGTTGGCATAGGGGCCATTGTTGATGGCGTCCATGGTTGTCCCGACGTTGCCCAGTGCAGTGATGTTGCCTCTTTATTATTAGGTTGTTGTGGACTCCTTCCTAGGCCGTCCGAAAGTGCATCTAGCCCTTTAGTGGGTTTTGGATGATTGAATGACAACACGATTAAAGATCTAACATTTTTCTCTAAGTGTGAAACAGGAAATTGGTTATCTCACAGATGCTTAATGAAGTCAAAATGATGTGTTGTTGTATAAACAATCTAGTTAAAACACAAGACAACAATGCAAATGGAATTCATGCAAAGGCTTATTTAAATGTGGGATTTCCATGTACTATGTGAAAGCAAGCACGGAAATTGGTTATCTCACAGATGCTTAATGAAGTCAAAATGATGTGTTGTTGTATAAACAATCTAGTTAAAGCACAAGACAACAATGCAAATGGAATTCATATAAAGGCTTATTTAAATGTGGGATTTCTATGTACTATGTGAAAGCAAGCACGGTAAGAATTAATTAATGAGACATGAGGGATTGCATATGGTATGGTCTCATATTTGAAGCCTGCTAAATTGAAATGAAAAAGATAACAATACAAATGAATGGATAATTCAACACAAGATGTGACTTGATGGCATGAGATGGTGAAGATAGCAAGAAAAGGCTTTGAGGTACTAAGCAAGGGTGAAGGGCAAGCGATGGCTTGACGGCCGAAGAACCTAGCTAGGGTGAAGAAGGAAGTACTTACATTTAGTTGAGGTACTAATCAAGCTATGATGGTCATGTTGATGTAGAGGATCAAATCACCATTGGAGTGTTTGATGAAAGTGACTTGATACATTTAGGATTGTTCATATCTGATGAATGAAATCAAGTCACGTGCTCAAGATGGCTATGCTCAAGTAAAAAGATCAATATCGACATGGTGGCATCCTCACTTGATGAAGATTGAAAGACACGGCTTCGGTTGAAAGAGATCAACTCAAAAGGTTTAAATTCATTATACATTTGAATTTGTGTTAATAGGAGTGTCGTACTATTAAGAGGGATGCATCATGTTGATAGATGATTATTCATAAGTGCTCAAGCCAACCTATGTGAGGTTTGAGTGAAAGAGAGAAGAGAGAAACTAACTTTGTTCTGTGACCGAGCAGGGTCACTCAGGTGTTTCTCTAACATATTCGTCGGGAGTTCCGATGTCCCGACGCCTAACTGACTAGGAGAGTTAACTGTCTAGTCACACCGGATATGTCCGGTATTCTACCGGACGTGTCCGGTATTCTAGGCTAGAGCCCAACGGCTAGTTTTCAAATGAGTTGAGGGTCGGGAGTTCCGACGTGAGTCAGGAGTTTCGACGGTCGGGAGTTTCGGTATTCGTCGGGAGTTTCGACACCTCACATACTTTAACTCAGTTACCATTGGCGCAGTGCAAGTCATACCGGACGTGTCCGGTATGCACGTGTCCGGTATGGTAACGACTACATAGCGGCTAGTTTTTCAAAGGGGCTATAAATACCCCCAAGCCTCCATCTTTGGAGGCTGCTGATTCTGCTGGTTGCAATACACGTTTTTTAGCCTTGCCAACTCTCCCAAATCCTCTCTTAGTGAGTGTGTGATCCAAATTGACAAATCAATTAGTGGGTTGAGAGAAATTCAAAATAGAGCAATCCAACCACTTGAGCACTTGTGTATATTGTCAATCTCGTGATTTGCATTTGTTACTCTTGGACTCTTCGGTCCTAGACGGCTAGGCGTCGCCGGAGAGCACCTGAGAGATTGTGGTGTGCTTCGGAAAGTTTGTAACGGCCGATTTCGCCGCCTCGGAATCAACTAGTGGAAGGAGGAAAATGAGTTGGAAAAGACTATGACTAGAGTGACCTTCGTGGTACCCTCCAGGGCTGACCTTCGCTAGGTCGCCCGCAGCCCCCTCAATGGAGAGTAGGACTCGAACGAGTCCGAACTTTGGTAAAACAAATATCGTGTCTCAATTTGCATTTCATTCGATATTTGTGTTGTTCTAACTCTTGTGCAGGTTCTCTGTGTATCTTGTCATCTTTAGTAGGTACCTGCAGTTTGATTTGAAGATAGAAATCAAAAGGAGCAAGTTTGGGGCTGTTCCACTGAAACCGTGTATACCGGACACGTCCGGTTTTTCCTACCTGTGCTTAAAATATTCATTCTCTGTTCTAACTTTGTGTTGCAGGGTTATAGATTCTAGATATACTCTTTATACCTTGTATTCTCTGTTGGCTAACTCATGAGAGGTTTATTTCTCTGATTAGGAGTTTCCAAGTGTTTGGAAACTCCAACACTAATCGTTTTCGCATTTTAAAGGGTTGAATTTTAGAAATGCCTATTCACCCCCCCTTTAGGCGGCATTCTCGATCCTTTCAATTGGTATCGGAGCAAGGTTCTCACCTAAAGTTTCACCGCCGTGAGAAAAGGATGTCGACGCCTATCGAGTTGGAGCCGGTGCTTCTCCAAAATGATGGTTCAAACTTTCTATCTTGGTCAATTCGTATACTCAATGCTTTTAGGAATATTAGTCCTCTTGTTGAGCATATTGTGGTTGCAAGCATACTTCTTCCTTTAGTTGATTGGAGCAACTATAAAAACTTGTCAAAAGAGGAAGAGATATGCGTGCAACTCAATGCTCAAGCTATTAATGTCATTTTGAGTACATTGAATGCAGAGGTTGAAGATGAGGCAATCTTCAATGGACAACCACCTCCGAAGAGTGCTCATCTCATTTGGACTAGGCTTGTTGAGTTATATGGAAAATCCAAATATGATGATGCACTTGAGATCGAGTCAATGGAAAATTTGTCCATTGTGTCTTCATGCAGCGAAGAACCCTCACAAGATCTCAAGAGCGTCGAGCCGGAGCAAGAAGTGCAAATAGCGCATGACCTGTTGTCTGCCTGCACATACCGAACGTGTCCGGTATGACCGAGATAGCAGACCAGCAAGCAGCTGTTTGCAAGGATGCTCAAGACCGATGGCGACCAAGTGATGAGTCAACCTCAGTATCTCATGATTCTCATCACTTGTGTCTCATGGCCAAGAAAAGCAAGAAGAAGAGTAATAAGAAAGATCAAGAAAAGGAGAAAGCACAAGTAGATGATCAAGATAAGAGTGATGTTGAAGTTGAAGACAACTACAATCTTGATGATCTCAACCGCAAAGACAAGTTCATCATCATGAAGATAGTTGAAAAGAATGATGAGCTTGAAGAAAAGAATGAGAAGCAAGAGCAATCACTTCAAAAGTAAGAATTGTTTCTCATCTCCAAGGTGGAATAACTAAAGGCTCTAAGTGAAAGGTATGAAAAATTGTCAATTGAGCATGCTTTAGTTACTAACTCCTCTTCTAGTGTTTCACAACTAGAGAAGGAAAACTTTGAGCTCAAGGCAAGGCTAGATGAACTATCAAGCAAGTATAATGTGCTACAAGCAAACTATGTTCATCTGAAGTGCTCTCATGATGAAGTAGTAGAATCAAGCATCATGCTTAAGGTGGCTCATGAGGTTGTGATCACATCGGTAAAATTTTCTCAACCTCTCACATATTCACTCACTAGTACACTATCTCAATTAAATATTTCTTGTACTAATGAGTGTGCTCCTTAAGCAAGCCAATCTTCGATTGAGCTAAATCTCATAGAAAACATAAAGCTCAAAGAAGAGGTGAAAAGATTAAAGAAATATGTGATTCGGTTGAAGGGTAAGGAGAAAGCACAACCTTCTCAAGATAACTGTGATAACATGGTGAAGAAGCTTGAGAAGGGTTCAAACCTTGCTTCCTCCAAAGCCCAACAAAAGAATCACATTTCAAGCAAGTCCAACACAACCAAGAGCAAGAAACATGGAAAAAGTTTATGCTATGGTTGTGGATTATATGGACATGAGTGGGCTATGTGTCCACATAAGAGTTGCGCCGACAAGTGTGAAACGGCTGAACAAAAGGCCTCAAACAAGTTGGCCAACCAAAAGAAAAGTGATGGACAAAGCACTTGTCTCATGTACAAGAAATTGGAGCATCCTACCAAGAAATGCCCAATGTACAAAGAGGCAAGAAAGGAAGCCCAAGTCGCAACAAGAAGATGCTATGGATGCAATGAGATGGGCCACAAGGTTGATAGATGTCCATACAAGCGAAACAAGCATAGAGCAAACAAAGGCCGCATATGCTATGCTTGTAGAAGAAAGGGGCATCTAAGCTATGAATGCCCAAATGGTAACACTCCTAAGCCAAACACATTTGTTTATACTGATATGCTTAGGAAGACCACAAATGGAATTAGCACTAGCAAGGTGATGTGTTCACCACAAACTAGTACTAAAGCCATTTGGGTGCCTAAGCACTTGTTGACTAACTCAAAAGGACCCAACAAGAGTTGGGTACCAAAATGTGCTTAGATTGTTGATATAGGTACTTGGTGATGAGATGAAGGCTTCGGGATGCTTGAGCAAGGAAATTGAAATTTTCACTCAAGCTATCAATCTATTTCTCACATATCATTTTATATGGTTGACCCGAAGACAAATCAATGAACATATCATCTACCTCATCCTCACCATTGGCAACAAGTACCTAAACCTTTTAGGATAACCACTTTGTGTGTTTGTGCTCAATGGCTCACAAATAGGCATATTTGTGAAAT